CATACACACACACATATACATACATACATATATATATTCTACTTTGAAAGTTTCAATACTCATACCAGAGACCAAAACAATAAGAATGTCCAGAGTTAAATACGTGTCCAAGAATTGATACTTTTACCTTATTTGGGCTATAAACGTTTTTAACATTTTTCCAAATCAAAATCTACCACATTACTTGAACTTAAAATTCAAAAATCAAGCGATACTCGACGTTTGCTAACAAACGGATTGTCGGCAGTTTTCAGAACACTTCGCATATTAAAATACATTGCTATCGCGTTGTCTCGAATCTCGGAATTAAACGCGTACGATGACGCGAACGCACGAAGAATCGAACGGGCGATTATCCGAGAACAAAAGCGACGACAACAACAACGTCGACATCGACGTCTCGTCTCGTCTCGTCTCGTCTCGTCTTGTCTCATCTCTCGACCTCTGTAGGAAAAAAATATTTACCGTTTCCCTCCGCGATAATACCATCTCTCTTTCTCTCTCTCATTGGCCCGAGGCGAATACGTAAGTGCGGCGTGATTAGTCATCGTCGCAAGCTGATATCAGGCTAAAACGCTCGCTCGAGAATTATCCGCGTGAGTCACGCGAAGCTACATCGCGTCGCGTTGCATCGCGTCGCGTCGTGCCGTGTCGCGTTGCCTGAAAATTGAGCGAACACCGATCCCTACTTTTTCAATCATTTTTTCCCCTCGTCTTTCACGACCGAGTGACGAGCTCATTCAATTTCTTGCGAACGGTGACGTCCGGGCGAAAAACATGCGGCTGATGACGACTTCGCTTCGTCAGTCGTGCGAAACTTTAATCTCTCCTACGTGTATTATAAAACGTGACATGATGAATGTACACCACAGTGAAAAAAATATAATACAATACGTATAAAGATAGTACACAAAATATAATACGTACGCACTCACTTACACACACATAAGATATCCTATTTTAAACAGGACAGCCGAATGTCAAAAACTGAGCAGACAAAATGTTTCAGACAAAATGTATAGGGTTTTGAGGAGGAAAAAAGACAATGACCTTGAATTTTAACTATTTATTCACCAAGGTCATACGGCGGTCAACCTTATCTTTTTAAGTAGAAAGTGATACTTTTTACAGCAGATTCTGAAAAATTGTTCAATTTTGTGTAAAAAAAACGCTAAAACCTGTACGATCTAAGTCCAATAGTTTGAGTTTATTTAGCAATGAAAAATGCAACTTTGCTTATTTCCATCAACAATAACGTGCAGGTAAATTTATGTATTTGTTCAAGTTTCGAAGATATTCGGTTGGTCTGTTTAAAATATAGCTTATGTGTGTATGTGTGTGTATATAACATAACAAAGAGACAAGACTACATCCTATACAAGGTGTGTTCCGGATCAACCGCTTCTTGAGTGTTCCTCCTTCGCGAAATTCGAATATTCCCATGTTTTCGCGTTTCTTTTACAAAATAAGAACCTTTCCTTTGGATATGCTGAAGATACGCTCTCTTGCGTGACGGACCGTATTCGCGCCCGTGATACCAAGTACCGCGACGCGGGCAGCAATATATCTACGCTGACAAAGCGTTCACTTGTGCAACCGCGCGAATACGTCGAGTCGCGCGGGAGACGCGAGAGTTTATCGCGAGAAACGACCGGGCAAAATCGGTTTTATGCCGTGTTACTCGTTCACCGTGCACAGGCTATGTCGAAACCGAGGAATTTCTACAGTGTTACTACAGCAAGTATTACACAATGTATACAAATGCATTCTACGTAATCAAAAATCATGTGGAATATCGTGACGTGTACGCGACAATTGTGCACTGTCGTACGATTCTTTGTTACGATGAATATCGACGGCTCGACGGATCTTCTTTATCTTCTTTACCGAGTCATTAAGTCATGAATGACTTGACGAGTTTTCTAGCGGAAGCGACGATAAAGTTAATCGCATACGATTAAATCCCGCCAAACTTGATTTGCCGATTGCAAGGAACGCTTACTGACAAAACTTTGTTACAGATACATTTTAATTCGTCGATAAAGAGAATTGCTCAGCTCCGTGTCATTCGCGCGTCATGTCCGATGAATAATATTGTTGAACTTTCGAAAGGCATTTCGAATGCAACTGTACATTCAACAACTTCGTCTTATCGCGCGAGTTCCAAGTTGCTTTATACTTCACAGCATAGTATTCAAGATAGAAGATGCAAACGGAATTGGAGGAAAATACAATTACTTTCTACATGCAAAAATTGGCAAAATTCAAACGAAAATGAAACGAGTATAATTAAACGTGAATTTGATAAATTTCATTGAAAAGAAATCGTTAAAAATAATGCAGACGAGTAAAAGTAGCGTCCCGCTAAATCTATCCGGAAAACTTCAAAAGAAAATAATTTTTTCTACAAGACATGTCTTGCAGGAAATTCCTCAGAAAATTATTTCTCCAAACTTAAAGGTTCCAAGGTCGGTTGAAAAACTTGCGCGTCGATTGATCATTCCCGCACGATCTTGACGAACCCACTGACACGAATATGCGCTTTTCGCATTTTTCTTCTTTTCCGAAGCCGTTCTCGATTGCGGCGCGCGCAAATCACGTGGAAACATAGACGCAGAGCATCGAGGCAACGACCCGACGACGGAGAAGGAGAATGCATTTCCCGGCTGCAGAAGCGCGGTTTGACGGCCGGCGCAAAAACGCGCGCACAATAGTCGAGAGCGAATGCTACGTTCTTCTCTCTCTCTCTCTCTCTCTCTCTCTCGTCACGGCTGTTCGTGGGACGACGGGTATTGAGTGACAAGCCGATAATGATAAGCGCAACGCGGCGGAGGGAGAGCTGTTGGTTAAATCGAACCGACCGAGCGAGGGGAGCAACACGAGTAAACGCCGTGCGCGTTAATCCCGACGTCGCAGCGCGCGGACTGCGACACATTAAGGGCTCTCGCACATGGATCGCCGTAACCGTAGACGCAAATAAGACGCAAACTTCAATTGAAGAACCTATCGGGATATTGCTTTAGAATTCTTCTGGCTAGAGGAAGATTGACGTGACCGTATAAGTAGGCTTCTGACTAAGTAACTAGAATTTTACCAGATGAATCTTAGTTACTTTGATGTACGATCAGATTTACCCGCAGTTCTATCTTCTTCTAGAGTGTATAAAATTATAGCAAAATTATAGCAAATAATCGGCCCTCAAGTTTACGTCTTATATCTGTGGTTACGGCGATCCTTCTACGGAAGCTCTAATCGCCGCTCGATTTCGTGCACGCCAAGAGAAGACCACGAAGACGACGCGTCGGATTCGCTGAGGATAATTCCGTCTAATCGTCGTAATTCCGTGTAATTTATTCTACAAGCAGGAGTTACGCGGCCAAATTCTTCCTCCTCGAGTTTGCGCGCGGTGTTGACCAATGGAACAAAAGCTCCCACTCATTGAAGGAAGTCCGCGCGCGACATTTTGAATCTGACGAAATCAAGTTCCATTTTCCGGCACTTTCGGGAAGTGTCTGTAATCCTTATCGACCGGCACTTCGAGATAAACTTCGGCTTCGGATGCTATTCACGATACGAAATATGCAATCATGCCGGAATAGCGAATTTGTAATTGAACGATTGAAAATTAGAAAAAATTTGGATCGATCCATAGTTTGTACAAATTTTTAAACAAAACTGTAAAATGCATTTTATTTTTGTTAAAAACAATCTTAATCAATAATATACGCGCCATTCTGTCGGGCAATCTTTTGTCATTTTTCACGTAATTTCGCAATTCCCTCTCGTAAAATTCCTTTTTGCTTTTCAGCGCCTTTGTGCTTTTTCAGCGAAAAAACGTTCCAAGTAATTTTTCACATTTTCTAAAGAAGCAAAATTTATACCGTCAAGGGAGTTCTGTTATAAACGAAACAGATGACAATTGGAAGGGACAATGTGAATATGATAAAGTGAAATAAAACATTTCAACCAAATTCTAACAATTTTTACAGAAGTAAAAAAGCAAAATGCACAGGAACAACTCATTATTGCCTTCCCATCTCAAGTCACAACAATAGACAACTGTACTGCTTTAAACGCTTTCGTTTACACCACAAAGTATGCTCTAAGATGTCAGCTACCAAAGCACAGATATGTACAGATATGTATAGACAACTATATGGACTTCTCCTAATACCAGCATGCGAATGTCAATAAGACAAAAATCCGCACGAACTTATGAACCAACCTAATATCTTGCGAGACGTCTCAAAACTTTGCTAATAAAATTCCATGTGTTTTGTTTCCGTAGCACTCGTGGCAACAATAATACATAATTCAATAAAATTTCGCATTATGGAATATCTTATTAAATTGCTAGCATTTACTCGTGACACTCTTTCGGCCCGTAATCCGTTGAAGTTTTCTCTGCGGTGTATTCTGGCGCGCAAGTTGCCGACGAATTTTCTTCCGAAATTAATTAAATTTCTTATCAGACGTGAACGCCGCACAAACGCAATGTCAGAGATTTTCGCCCATAGCAGCTAAGAAGAGTTCCCTCGCGAGTTTAAGAGAGACAAATTAAAAAACGACCGCCTGGTGCCTTCGCAAGATTAAAACTCTGTCGCTTGTTTAAAATATATATCTTTCAAACTGGACATTATCTCAGAGTTATCTTCCAAATAATGATAATAAGCCGCTCTCCGCGTTATAATAATCCTGAGTTTCGTTCAGTCGAATTCTTTTCACGTATAAGACAAGATCCTCGTAAATTCGTTTCGAGCATTTCGTAAAAGATCCGGTTTTTTAGAGAACTCGCCTCGTTTCACAGAGGAGCATGAAGAACAATTTGTAAAAGTTCCCTGTCCTCTATAAAGAAATTTTCCGGAACGCAAACTCGTGAAAATTCCGTGACTTCCGCGCAATTCGATAGGGTGAGGGATCGTCATACTGACCTAATAGCCGCAGGACACGAGGTACTCGCCCAGCTTTTCGACAACAGATGCAGCTTGTTGTGGCTGTATGGGGTCCTCGTATAGGGAGACAACTACGGCCTGCGTCGTCTTCATGCAATGGACGCCAACTTTGCCGAGTTTTGCCCTTATCACACGGTCCGTGCCCGACAGGTAGATGTACCTGCTACCGGCTAAGGTAACGCCCGACGACGTCAGGATGTCCTGCTCTTCGAAGCTCAGGACTAATTTCGCGATCTCTTCTTTACTTACCTAAAAGCAGAGAGAGAGAAAATCGTTTTATCAGTAGGCGCAGTGACAAAACGCGACAATACGGCTTAAGTTCCCGACACACTCCGCAACGTAAATCCCGCGAGCTGACGTGGCGAAATTGCGATACCCTTTCCCAGTCTCAACTAAATGTGGTAATTGTACGATCGCGAGCACGTTCCATCAACTTCTGCTCAGGCGTCCTCGTCAAGCTCCAATTTTAACGCGAGGACTTTCTTCACTCACAGAAGTCAAATACCATTCTCTTTACTATTGCTATTCTATCGCATTATTTATTCTTTATTTTTTTTAAGTAACGGTGGAAATTGAATAATGAGAAAAAGAATTTAAATAAAATCCGAAAGTCTAAACGGACACTTTAGGAGAAATGAAGTTTATAACATACAATTAACAAACGCGGAGGACGCATCGGTACATGAAACGATCAAAGTACTCTCTATTCAATTTCTTGGAGTGAAATTTTACTCGAAAAGTAGAGTAATAGCCGAGTCTCCGCTCTGAATCGTCGAGTGAATATTTCCGCTCAAAATTGAAGAGTGAATCTGATGTCAAGTCATTTGACGAATTTATTCCAATTAATTGAAACATTTGCTCAGAACTCACTTTATAAGCTTGAGTAAAACATTCACTCTTGCGGTAATATTTTCGCCATTAATTTAAGTGAAAATACTGGTTATTTTTCACTCCTCTTGCTGTGACATTTCACAGCAAGAAATTTAAAGAGTATACACAACAAATATCATAAAAAAAATAAGGGTGACGTCTTGCCTTAAATTTTTTCCTTGTCGAAGTTTTCTTCGGCGGAAAAAAAATCTTCCTTTCGAGCGAAGGAATCGGTAGAGATTGGAGGCATTAATCTATAGTGGACGCTTTACGCGTCATTAATTGGCAAAGCACGCTTGCGCGTGTCCACGACGTTATCTATCGTTACATTACCATACGTTAAGGCCATTCTACAATTGCGTAAGCGTGGTCATGAAACGTCAACCAATCAGAGTGTTTTATTTTGATTGGTTGTCGTAATCATTTACAACCATTTACGACCACGCTTACGCAATTGTAGAATAGTCTTTATACTGAATCTTGATTCGGGAGCAACGTAGATCCCATGATTGGCAAACAAACGAACGTTTCGGAATTCGTACCCATATTTCAAGGAATAAAGAGAGAGAGAGTGAGAAAGAAAGAGAGAGAAAGAAAGAAAAAGAGAAGAGAAATAGAGAGCGAAAGCTAGATACCTTATCTATTTTATGTTCCTGTAGATGCGCTCTCTCTCTCTCTCTCTCTTTCTCAACATTTACGGAAACACAAATAAGCAACAGCGCGGTATTGTGTGCTGGAAAACGTTCTCATTCACGAATCTATATATGACATGTCCAGCCAAGAACCGCACGAGACGAGCATTCACCCTTCGATAATCTCGTTCCGCCGTAAACATATTATTTTCAGAATTAGATACATATACATATCAGTAGATAAGTCCCGAGCTTTGGTGCAAAACTCGCTGAATTGAAGCACCGTACCGAAGTAGAACGAAGAACGAGATTTTGTTATCCGCTTCCTGGGAGTTGAGCATCAGCCTTCCCAAGAGACCGGTTTCGTTCATCACGCAAAATTCTACCGACCATTTGTTGGAATATCTAATTTTAACTAGAGCGAAGGAAGAGCGCGGAATGTGTAACACGTACACATGCGTCCCGTACGCTGAAAAAAGTGAATTCGCCAAGAGTCTCGAGAAAAAAGAAAAAAAGAGACTTCGCAATGTCGCGCGACGTAATTAAAAGCCGGTTTGGACTCTTGCGAGGAACGAGTCGAGGTATGCGCTCTGTTGACGTAAACGCACAGAAAGATGCACACAAGAAGAAAAATCCTCACCGAATCGATCGATATCACGTCGGTCAGACACGATCGATAACGTACAAGCGCGATTATCGCGACGCGATCTGAAGTGCCTTAAGTTCACAGCTCGAAAATTGAATTGAACTTCCGCGAACGCGGTAATATATCGCGCTCGACGACGCCCGGCGACGAAAATGACGTCGAATAGAAGCGCGCCAGCAGTCAGCCGATGTCATCCCTCGCGAGCGGCGTTCTACCGGCCGAAAATACGCTTCCGCGAGAAGTTCAAAGGTCACCGGGCCTGCCGTGACGCCATTCGGCAGCAGGCTCGTAACGAATTGATACCGCGAAATTCACATGGCGCATCTAATCTCGCGTGTCCCGAAGCACATTGGCCGAAGTTGCCGACGCATGAACATTATACAGCCCGTTTCATTATACAGCCCGAGAGTCTCCACAGCTCGTGGACTTTAAATTGGCCGAGAAAAGAATTCGCTATTGAGGAGGGGACAGGGTCTCCGCAGCGTGCCGCGCAACGAAGAAGCTCGGCCCGTTATTCGCGCGAGGAACGTCAGACGCGACGAACCAGAGGTTGCGAATTCCGGCGCGACGTTCTCGCAAGAGTCTCCTGAAAACGTGCGGCGAACCCGACGGAGCTCGGATTTCAAAGTCAAGTATCTCAAAGTCAATTGCTCTGAACCCTTCCGTGCTTAACGGCGCGCTCCGACACAGGAGGGAGATAATCAACGATAAGAGCCATAATTCACGTTGGCATCGATCCTTGCGCTATAGCAATAATCACCGGGAGCTCGTCCTACATCGAACTGGGGACAAGGACAAGGACGGTGACGATGACAAATGAGCCCTTAAACGATTTGTAACGATACCGTCGAGTTGGTTTCTCCTTGAATAAGAGGATCTCGCGTGAAAAAACAAATAGCGTGAAGCTACAGAGTAATCTGATATAATCTGGACCTTCTACGTTATCCTTCAGTCACGAATAAATTGAAAGGATGAATTTAAAATGTAAGTAAGTGATCAAATATAAATTTTTTAGAAATATCTAAATTTTCCACACGGGAGTGTCAATGTCAGAGAAAAAACAAATATTTCGCATCTTGAGACATCAATTTACTTTACTTCATTTAAATTAGGAAGTACTTATTTAAATCTCCTTGTAAAAATAACCATCGCGTTACCAATTGACAGGGGGAATAATGTTTAGGAAAAATAGTTGTTGCCTCGAAATCAAAAGCAGACACAACTTTCCTCACTCTTCGTGTGCGAAAAAATTCGGGCTCCAGTGCGTTAAATTAAGTCTCTCCGAAGAGAGAGAGAAGTTGGGTATTAGTATTTAAATATATTCGCACGACAGGGGTGATCCCGCTAAAAGCAAATCTGTGTTACGCATTTTGTCGCGGATCACGTCACTGTCGAATTAACGCGAGACGGACGCGTGCGATCGCGCCGGAAGTTCGACGAGGGAAAAGTGCAGTAGTATGGCAAGAGGAGGAAAAAAGGAGGAGAGAAAGGGGAAAAAGGGAGAAACAGGAGGAAGGAGGAAAAATCGCAAAAAACGTAACTGTGTAACGGGCGATCTTAAAAGTTATTCCTGAAGTGAGGTAGAGAAAAGGGCCCACGCGCGAAAGCGGATCGATGCGCGTAAGTGTCGACGTGTTGCAGTTAATCCGAGATGATCTAACGCGGCCTTGAACTATAAGTAAGTGCACCGATTACGGGCGTCTTTGTACGATCGCCGCCCGTTGCCGCCTTCTTTCTCACGGCTCCGCACCGCTCGTGCACGCCGCTCGCTTTTGTTCCCCCGCGGACGCTATTTCCGCCGAAACGTCGCATTAAATACATGCAAGTAGAAGTGCGAACGCCCCGCAATATCCCTCGCACCTTGAACATCTGAGAGCCTCCTCTCGGCGAAGAGAGAAGAAAATAATTCTACGCTCGCATTCCTTTCTACGCTCTCTCTCTCTCTTTCTCAACTTCGATAACGAATGTTTTAACTCTTTCGCTGAATTCGCACGCGCGAGACTTATTTTATATTTAACACAATCTAGAGTCATACAAGAATATTTGATAACTGGGAAATCAATAGATAAACGTTAATATTGTAAAACAAACAGATAAGTACTAATACCGCAAAATTAATAGATAAGTATCAATAAAAACTATAAAAACCAATAAAAGTACCAATAAAAACTAACTTAATCTTGTTAGGAAGTCGAGACAAAGTTTATACGCGGAGAGAATATTGTAGTAAAAATTAGTGTAATTTTAGTAGTCTAAGAATAAACTAGCATTATATATATTATGAAAATTATAATAAAACATAGTAAAAATGATCATAAATGATGACTCTTACTACATTTACGATCATATTTACTGTGTTTTATTATAATTTTCGTGATAGTGACAGTCTATTCCCGGATTATTAAAGTAATCTTGCTAAAGTTGCAATGTAATCTTTACTACAATATTCTCTCCGTATAGATGAAGCGCGGGCAATTCGGGACACCTTGTATAGATACAATCGGCAAAGGGTTAGTCAAGAGTAAGAAAGAGAGAGATCGTTCCGAAGTACATCTGAGATTTTTTGCGCTTCGCACTCCTGGCCGTAGAAAGGAGGTCAGTACGCGTTATCCTCGCGAGAGGATTCGCTCTTTTCGCGTGCGCGCTACGATCGTGAGTCGCGTATTTGGCTGTCGACGTGAAGCGAAGACGAAAAAAAGGAAAACAAGACAGCCGCTATATCGCCCTCCTTAAGTTCACCGTACGCCCGTTTTACAGTTACAATTTCAGACCAAGCACGACGCTGACCCGTAATGACTCCTCCGTCTTTGAGGATTTCGGAGTTTCTTCTCCTTTGTTTTTTTGTTTTACAACACGCGCGCACATTACGCCTCGACTTCGTAATGTTTGTTGAGTCAGCACTATATGAGTGCATTTTCCTTGGCTCGCACCGCGATAACAGGGAAAAAGGCTCGCCTGGCTTATCGGTGGCGCGATAAAGTACGGCACCGGATATCTTATCCCATTGCGTTGGCGGGAAAATAATGTCCGCTTCTCGTCGAACTCTCTCTCTTTCTCTCTCTCAGAGCTTCCTTGTCTCGCTCCAAAACGACAATTTCCTT